TTTTGGGGGGGGGGGGCGTAGAACGAAAGAGTGGTCTCGTGTTTTGGTCAGAACGGGTGGCGTACCAATCCAATTGACGCGCGTTGCAAACGGCAGCAAGCCTGAGGTGAAGGCCTTCGTGGATCGAAAAAGAAAAAGTTCTCGGAAGTGGGCACTATTTCCCAAAGTTTTTGTTTGTTTTGATGGTAGCATCGTTTCTGGTGAACTGACAGACCGGACTCCCTGCACCAATCACGTATCTAGGCAACCAAGCACACCCGCCCACGAGAATAGCATAGCAAGTAAACCACTATCAAAGCACGGCTGCCGCCAAAGCTGCCAACGGCTACAACTCCCATCGGGACAAGGAAATTCATTAAACTGATGGTGCGAACGCGGCTCAAAACCCAAACACGCACAGGCCGTCTCGGGGAGCCTGGGCTCAACGCGAGAGAGCGAGCTCATCGAATCCGGGGGGCGGGAAATATTGGCGCGATCAAGGTGGGCTTTTTTGTCGTACTTTTCTCTTCGTGAAAGGTCAATGTATGCATACGCGTAGTCATGAATCTGTTGTTAATTTCTCCAACGGTGGTGTTGCTGGAAAAGTATTTCGGGAAGGGCGAGTATAATAGTGCGTGAGACTGACTGTGGTATGCACCCCACTCGGTGTGAGAATCGCGGGTACGTTGGCATGTTGTATTTTTGACTCCACCAACGATGTTACTTCGTAGGAGTAGTTCGGAAACAGAGAGAGAGAGAGAGAGAGAGAGAGTGAGGCTGAGCGTGGTATGCACCCCACTCGGACGTGCAACCCCGACATCTCTCCTGGTGGTCGTCTTCCAGATGGAACGGGCGAGCTCTTGGCTCCACTGGGAGAAGATGCGGCATGTGTCTACCAACTGTCTGAGCGAAGGACTTATTTCAGGCGTCAGTGTTTGTGGTGCATTGTTGTTTTTGTTGTTGTTGTTGTTCTTGTTCTTGTTCTTGTTCTCAGAAAGAGGATGGGCGTTTTCAAAGAGTTTCCGTTCACAAGCGTCGGGTCTGTACGTTTATGCGCATGGGTGTGTTTTTGCAACGCGCGCAGGGACAACATTGCCGCTATGCGTAGGCAGTGCGAGGACCTAGAGGCGGACGAGGCAGAGCTGAACGCCAAGATCAAGAAGAAGAGGAACGAGTTGGATAGGGGAGAAAAACGCCTCAAGTCTCTGCAGGTGAGAGGAGGGGAAACGGGGGGGGGATAATGGCAAGGAGAAAATTACAGGAAAGAATACGTATGGGCAATGACAAAAGACAAATACAACAGGGGTGAAGCACAGCGCGGTGGGTATTGTGATACCACCATGCAATCGTCGTAAGCCTCGAGACTTCGCATCGTTTTTCTCCCGAGTATGGACGAAACACGTGTATGTTTCACCAGCGGCGGGAGGAGGGGCGGTTTAAGGATAAGAAGTCGCGGTTGGCTGGCTGCGTCTTCCAATCAGACCGGTGAAGCAACCAGCGAGGCGTGGCGCTGATGAGTAAATGAAACTCGCTCTAGTACATCCATAAGTAGTCGATGCTGAAGAAAGTGTGAGAAAAAACGCTGTCCCGCCAGAGAAAAAAGAACAGAACCACCCAAAACAGTCGACTTGGTACATAAAAACATAAATGTAGCCGACCGAACTATTTAGTGTCGAGCGTCATGAATGGCGTCGACCCACGGCAGAAGCATTGGAGGTATGAGGGAAGACGTAACACATAAAACATAAATGTAGCCGACCGAACTATTTAGTGTCGAGCGTCATGAATGACGTCGACCCACGGCAGAAGCATTGAAGGTATGAGGGAAGACATAACACTACGGTGCGTGGCTGATGGCGTGGCAACACCCGGCATGACAACACAACCACCCTCCCTTGGTCGAAAAAGGCGCACCGCCCGGCGTTCGCCGACGAGCTGGACAAGCTTGAGGGCGAGCTGCGTCGGTACTACGAGGTGTACGTGGACCGTTTCCGCAACCTGGACTTCCTGGAGCACAACCTGGATCGCTTCCACGAGTCGGAGATGGAGGAGCTGGAGGAGTACGAGAGGAAGCGGAATCGGAACGCGGAGAGGGTGCGGCGGGAGCAGCTCAAGCAGGTGAAACAGGGCTGTTCTTATTGGGATCGTTGTGGGATTTTTTTCTGTTGCTGGAGCTTGCGTTGTGTACATGTGTGTTGCTGTGCTGCTGCTGCTGCTGCTGCTGCTGCTGCTGCTGCTGCAGATGTCAGTTTCGTTCGCATTTTGCCGTCACTGCTGTCCTCGTTGTCCATGTTTTTCCCAGAAGAAACAACAGCCATTGCTGTTTTGGCCATCGTCAAGTGGATGCTCTCTCTCTCTCTATCTCTCCCATCCTGCCCCCCCGGCTCTTATACTGCTAAACCGTGTGCCTACTGTGTCTAG